AAAAAAAAAAAAAAAAAAAAAAAAAAAGGAGAAGAAGAAGAGAGAAAGAGAGATAAAGAAAAAAAAAATCTAGAAACGCAAAATACAAATTTTTTAGGATCGTACAATTGTTCTTTTTCCTTTTTTTTTTTCTTTTTACGATCGTTAGATAATACGATTCGTCAACGGGTGCTTCCGTGCGACGGAACCAACTTCCGGCCACACGCGGAAGAACAATTCGAAATTCAAACACTACTCACTACTGTTACTATTTACTACTACTACTAATACTACTACTACTACTATTACTACTATTACTACTACTCTTTTTTCCCGTGCCATCCACGCCACCGTTTACACCGTGGATGGGCAGTGTTCGATGAGAGATTCAAGCTACTCTGGTATCGGAAATCGAACAATTGGTTGAACGAAACCGATTGGATTCAATTGGTCCAATTGCCAGGGAGGAGAGGATCTTCCCCTCGATTCGAGGGAGGGCGTTTATTCCACATGTACGCACGCGCAATCGCGAAATAGCGAAATAGCGAAATCCCGTCCGATTCGATCGGGAGATCGTCTCCGAAATTTGGGTAAAAAAGAAAAAAAAAAAAAAAAAACAAATTTGTTTCGACAAAATATCGTTTGTATACACGACGGAATTCTGTCTCACCGTAGTCCCTTTTTTTTTTTCTCTTTCTTTTTTTCTTTCGAGATGAAAAAATTATCACCGGGTAAAAAGGAAGGAATTCGAAAAAAAACGACTGTCTCTCGAAAATCGCGTGAAAAGAATTAAAAAAAAAGAAGAAGAAGAAGAAGAAAAACGCTTAAATTTAATTTTTGATATAATTTCGAGGGACGGGGAGAGAAAAAAAGGGGCTATACTCTGAAACAGTATTTCCGTTTCTTAATTAGACATATCAAAACTATGTAAGTTGAACGCAATTGCGAAACGAAACGAACAAAAGGTATATATATACATAATATAAATATATATATATATATTATTTTCAACGCGAATTTAGAAAATAAGAAGAAGAGAAAAAGGGGCGGGAAAAGCTTCCAGAGAATCCAGGCGCAGTGTTTCGGATACTTGCCAAGTAGATAGACCTACCATTGAACACTGCAGATTAATGTTTTTTGCGAAAAAAAATATAGTGTAATAGCGAATGCAGCAGCAAAAAAAAAAAAAGAAAGAAAGAAAGAGAGAGGGAAAAGAAAAGAAAAGAAAAAAACGAACGAACGAACAAAACGTATTATGTATAAAGCGTATCTTTCGGGCTTCCTGTTGAAAATGCATACCACCAGTTCGTCCCGACGAAACTTCCATCGGACGAGGATCGGTGTCGCGTTTTTTTTTCTTTTTCTTTTTTTTCTATTCCAAAAAACGATTTCGTTATTATTCGCAAAAAAAAGAAAAAAAAAAAAAAAAAAAAAAAAAAAAAAAATGCATCCCACCCCGAGATTGACGTTCGCGAAAATACCGAATTCCGATTCCAATTTGCAGTGCACGGCACTAGAAATGAAATTCCACGCCACGGAAAAAAATAATAGAAAAAAGTAACATAATTAGAAAGAAAAAAAAAAAAGAAAAAAAAAACTCACGGGTGAAAAATTATTGAATCATTCAATCCTTGTTCCGAGGATTCGTTTCGTTCACGGACGAGCTGCTGCTATCGCGTTGCTGAATCAGAAAATTAAAAATAGCCGTTCGATGTTCGAGGAGAACACGTACATACGCACGCACACGTACACATACACACACCCACACACAAATACAGTTGGAGAGTGCAGAAACTTGACTTGTCACGATCGAACGACTGTAAATATTAACTTATTGTAACACGACGTAGAGGTAGAAAATTAAGCGCGTATATATTTCACGAAACGAAATTTTGTTCTGGTTGCGAGCGCCGTTGGAAGCTCGTCGATTCCGGAAGCACGCGATTGGCCAGCCTATAAAATTTCACGTCTTTTCGAAATCGTAGGCGAAAAAAAAAAAAAAAAAAGGCTGATGTATCGCGAGAGCGATTATCGCTGAAATTTATGAATGAAAGGATAATAATGGTTTGAGTGTCGAGTTGAAACGAGAGCAAAAAAAAAAAAAAGAAAAAATACGAGAGCGTGAAGAGAGAGAGAGAGAGAGAGAGAGAGAGAAAAGAAAAAATATCTGAAGCAGCATAAATGAGAGAATACGAATGCAACACGAAATGCATTCGAAACGAGCGAATGCGGATGAACGAGAGAATGAGAAAGAGAGAGAGTGAAAGAGAGAAAGAGAGGGAGAGAATGCGAGGTACGAATGAGAGAGTGAAAACTAAACAAAATTTTACTACCAAGTGGACTAGAATCGCAACCGATGGGCATTATTAAGCGAAAATGAAATTTTCGGAGCGTTTTTTCGACGAAGAAAAGCGTCCAAAATTGTACCTATTTTCATTTTATAAATTATATATATATATATGTATATGTATATGTATATGTATATGTATAGATATACGACGACCTAAACGATCATTATTGTGAGATGTGTAATGAAATAAAGAGAGAGAGAGAGAGAGAGAAAGAGCGCGCGCGAACAAGAAATCGAGAGAACGAGAGAGAGAGAGAGAGAAAGAGAAAAAAAAAGCGGAAAGAAGTTGAAGAGGATGAAGAAGAAGAAAGAGGAAGAAAAAAAAAAAATTATTGTATCTATATTCGGAGGTGATCGATGATGTATTCGAGTCGTGATTATTATTATTATTATTATATATTATGATTATTGTGTATAGTTAAGGCGAAAATGGAATTTTAGACGAAAAATTATCTCGAACTCGAAGTATATAGGGAGCGCGAATAGTGAGAGAGAAAGCGAGAGAAAGAGAGAGTATGAGAGAGTTGAGAGTTGAGAGTTGAAAACGAAATTTTTTTTTTTTTTTTTTCGACGGTGATTGCACACTGTAATAATGTCGGCAGAAGCAAAAAAGTCCCCCTCCCCTCGAGCGAAAACGAGCAAAAAAATAAGAGAAAGAAAGAGAGAAAGAGAAAGAGAAAAAGAGAGAGAAAGAGAGAGAAAAAATCACGTCTCGGCCAAACGAAAGGAAAGGAAAGGAAAGGAACGAGAAAGAGGAAAGAGGTAGAGAGCACATGCGTAAAAACGAAAAACATAAAAAGAAAAAAAATAAACTCACCAGAAAACATACAAGATACATTTCGATAAGCAAAAAACGCATATAGAACAATAGCAGGCAATAGTTTGGGTTCGCAGGAATGATTTTTTTTTCTTTTTTTTTCCTTTTTTCTTTTTTTTTTTTTTTTTTTTTTTTTTCTGTCCCCAAAAAATGTTTTTTTTGCTGTGTTTTGAACCGGAAGTGGAAAAGAAAAAAAAAAAAAAAAAAAAAAAAAAAGAAAACGAACGACTCAATCCTCGTTTAATTTTTCACAACCACATTGCAAAAAAAAATCGATGGAGAAAAATAGCCGATGATATCAACAAAAAAATATTATATATCTATATATAAAGATATACATATATGTATGTATGTACGCACGCATACGTACAACACCAGTGCAACAAAGAAAGAAAAAAAAAAGTGATAAACAACAATAGGTGAACAAAATAAAACAAAAGAAAAAAAAAAAAAAACGCGAACGCGTGCGCGATGTGCTTCCCCGTTCGGGACAAGGGCGCCCTAAAAAGAAAAAGAAAAAAAAAAAAAAAAAAAGAAATTCTAAATTCTCCACTTCCGACGAAATCCCTACCCTCGTTCTCAAGGACCCTTACTCCCCCCCGGTTTTCATTTCATACCTCCTTTTTTTCTACTCCTCCGAGATCGATTACCAATCGATGGAAACAGATCACAACGCACGATGAATACGGACGAACCGATTCGAGGAAAGGGCGCATTGTCGCGTTCCAGGATGAGCAGAGGAGGAGAGGCGACAGAGGCAAAAATGAAAAAAAAAAAGAGAAAAAAAAAAGAAAAAAAAGAAGTAAATATAGCTCAGGCAGAGAGATAGAAGGGATTCGATAAAACACGTAGGACGAACGCGACACGAGAATCGCGGAAACGAGGCAGTATATATCATCTTCCCCGATCGCATATCCATCCCGATCGAACTCCGGTTTCCCCTCGCGATCGTAGGCGACTGTTATCGACTTTCGATGCTCTCAGCACCGCGAAAATGTCCCTCGGTCGACGAATTTCACGCGTTATTTTATTATTTCGCACGTATTATTCGCGTATATATACATAACGTGTATAACAATTTCGTATCGAGAAAAAGATTCTTCGTCTTTCGGCTTCTTACTTTTTTTTTTTTTTTTTTTCTAACAAAATTACAATAGACGTAATAGAGCAATTCGAATTGCGGGAAAATTGTGGGGAAAAAAGAGCAAAAGAAAAAAAAAAGGGAAGGAAACGAGCGGATCCGTTGACCGGTGGGGCCGAATTTATAATTAATAGAGCCTTCTGTTTTCACCGCAGCATATCCATTTTCCTCGTGATAGCGTTCCTAATTGATTAATTCGCGACACCTTACACGCAAATCCCCCCTTCCTCCCCTCCCAAATCCTCTCCAGCACGTCTCCATACCTAGAGCCACCTTCCCCTCCCCACCCCACTCCTTGGAACCTGTGTATCCTCTTCCACCAACTGCACACCCCCTCACGTTTCCAATCCACAGCCACCACCTTAGTCCCTCCACTAGCAAACCGATTAACCAATGTGAGTGAATGTGTCAACACGTGCTACAAGGGAAATAAAGCGGATTTCAAAGAGGATACATAAAACGGCGGAAAAAAGTGCAAAAGTTGGGGAAAAAAAAAAAAAAAAAAAAATGAAAAAGAAAAAGAAAAAATCCAATAGGGAAAGCGTCGAGCAAACACACTACGACCCGGAGGAAGAAAAAAAATCGATCGATCGGAAAAACGTACACACACACACATTCGTCGGACTGTGTAGGGACATTTTGCATCAATTGTGTAAACACGAGACAGAGGGAGAAAGTGTGCGTGTGTGTGAGAGAAAGAAAACATTTAAAAAAAAAAAAAACGTCGAGAGAGAATGCGCGTGTGGAAGAGCGAGAGCGAGAGGTAAGAAGAGAGACAAAAAAAAAAAAAAGAAAAAAGCGCGAGCGAGAAGAATAAGACGACGGAAGCTAAAAAAGGATAAAAAGGAAAAAAAAAAAAACAAAATGTACGAACGAACAATTGATACTGTCTTCGTTTTTTAAGGTCGTTTCTCCGTTCGACACGCTACTATATGACTATTGACATTTGTCATTGGATTATTACCGACGACGATGAATTGTCATTATTATTACGAAACTATTGCTATTATTATTATTATTATTATTATTATTATTATTGTGACGAATGATTTATTATTATTATTATTATTAATTTTATTATTATTAATTATTAACATTTATTATTGACATTATTATCACGATTTATTATTGCGATGATGATTATTGCGATTATTACTATTGTCATTATTAAAATTATTATTATTATTATTATTATTATTATTATTAAAATTATTATTATTATTAATGATTATTACGATGATGATGATGATTATTATTATTACGTGGTACAATAAAAATTTAATAAGCATCCGATGTGCACGAGTCTCGTGACTACAACTACGTATCACAATTCTCTCTCCTTCCTTACACAGTACACGCTATGCCAAGATACTATAAATTACATGATTATACGACACGATTTTTTTTCTTCTTTTTTTTCGTTTCTTTTTTTTTTTTTTTTCTTTTTCCTACTTGTCTTATCTCTTCCGACTTTAACAGCATGCTGACCTCTCTTACGCGCGAAAATAACCATATCTGTAATAATATTCTCGGCTCCGTATCGTGCAAGAAAATAATTTATCTCGAAGATTCCTTTTTATCGTCATCGCCTACCGTGTTTCATCATTCACATGTGTATCTATCTA